ACGGAACGAACAGCAGCGCAGTAAACACGTCCTTTAGTGTTCTAGAACCTGACGTAGTGTGAATATCTGGTCTATACAACCACGTCCAGGTCGAAAACCAGCCTGATTTTCTCTAGTCTGTTCTTCACGAGCTTTGGTTAGGCGTCGAAGAATTATTGAAGCTAATATTTTAGACACTATAGTAGTCAAACTGATTCCTCTGTGATTGTCGCAAGAGGACTGTTGTCCTTTCTTATAGACTGGCACAATCAGTGATTGAGACCAGTCAGATGGGATTATGTCTAGTTCCCGAATTCTACTTAAGACCTCAGTTAATCTCACTGCTAATACTGGACCACCATCCTTAAAAATCTCAGGAGTAAACCTGTCAGGGCCTGCTGCTCTCCCTCACTTAGGATTTCATATAGCTTTCTCAACTTCGTAAAGAGTTGGAGGACCTACATTGACTTACCATTCAGGTTGACTGGAGATCGTGGGAAACCGAAGTGTGGCTGAAGGCCAGTTGAACTGATCCCTAAAGTGTTCTGCCCATCGATCCAATCTCCTGGATTGAGAATGTATAATATGTCCATCTTTCTCTGAGAGTGTTTCGCTAACAGTCGGCTTCCTAATACCGGTTTCCTTAACGAGTCTGAACAATTGTCTGCTATTACCTATTGCCGCTGCCTTTTCCATCTCTCTTGCTTTCGCTACCCACCACTGTTCGCGATCATTGCGTAGGCTTCTTTTCCGCTTGTGCTTAAGCTGACTCCGCTCTTCATTATGTTCAGAGCCAGGTGGAATGAGTTTCCGAGCATCTATCAGTGCGATAGATGCTGCTGAGATCCAGTGTTGCTCCCCAACCTTACGGGTTACCGTACTAGCAGATATCACTGCTGTTTCCACAGCTTTTCGGATATCATTCCATGCTGCATCGGGGTGGGCATCACATACACGGCTGCCTAACTGTTTCCCTAGTTGTTCCTGAAATATACTCTTAGCTTGACTATCATTTAGTAGGACCCTAAGAGGTTTCCTTGCAGCGTCTTCCCTTCCCAAGTCCAGTAAGAGGCAGACAAATACGCGCTCGCACTAGAGCATGATCTGAATCTAAGCATGTGCTCCAAAATGAGCGACAGTCTTCTATCGAGCCCCTCCATCGGTGGCTGATTGCGATGTGATCTATCTGGGTCCAACGTTGGGACGATTTAGGGGGCCGCCATGTTAAAAGATGTTTTTCCTCATGCTTAAAGTTAGTATTTACAATAAAGAGAGGGTTATCTGAGCATAGCTGCAACAGACGGTCGCCATTATCTGTTCTTTGAGCCACGACACCATAAGATCCACCTAGGTGTCTTTCCCCATCACTTAGTTTACCTACTTGAGCATTAGTCACCGGCCACTATTACTACATCAGAGCGCCTAGCTTTTCGGAGAAGGTAGGAGAGCTTTCTGTAAAACTCATCTTTTACATCATCTGAGCTGCACTTGGTGGGAGAATAGGCAGACACGACGAAGAGGCAACGACGAGTGTCCCTATCTTTTCGGATCCTTACTGTTCCGTTCAGTCGGATAGCGCACAAACGACTGTCTACTGGGATCCAGTCTAAGAGAGCTAGTTCTGCCCTAGGACTCAATACTACACCTACGCCGGCGAGGCCACGGGAAGCAGAATCAGGACTTCCAGATATACGAAGTGTGAATCGAGTCGGTTCTTTATTTTGGCATGGTCAGGTCAAGTGAATGACGCTACTCGGATCCTGTATGCGCGTTTCGGAGACGCAGCACACATCGATGGTGCGGGATTCTAAAGTCCTAGCTAAGGAAGCCTGTAGTCCTATTTGGCAAAGTGTTTGGACGTTAAAAGCTCTTACCTATAGTTTAGAGCGTGGTTTCAGGAGACCAGGAATAGTATTCCGCGAACTCGAATAGTTTGCCCTAGCGGTGCGAGATGGTAAAGAGATGTGAGGAAGGTTAGCCATGGAGATAAGAGGTATTAGGAGGTGTAGGAAGGATTTGAATGTGACCAACTTGGTCACGTGTGCTGTTACGGGTATGAGGGCTGATGTCACTTCCCGGCTGCCCACACCGTGGAAGGGTATTTCTTGAGGGACCTGAAAATGAAATTGGATTAGTGTTGGTCTTAACGACCTGGGAGCATGACCGCAGAGCCCAAGGGACAACTGCTTGAGGCCGGTCGCGCACGGCCTTTTCGTGGAAGGTTTTTGACGTGTTACCTCCGTTCTTCAAAGGGCCTTACCGCCGGAGACGGAAATCCGTGAGGTAAGGTGAGGTGTGGCATTTTTAAGGGTCGACCTTTTCTAACCCCACCCCTCCTTGTGGGAAGGCAGCATCGCTGTCATGCTGGTTGTCCGAGGGAAACACCTTACTGCTGTCACACCTCTCTACAGTCAGCAGTACGACTTCGCCCTCAGACCTTGAGTTGCTGCTTTTAGTCTTACTGTTCTCCAATCGACCTGCCTGGCATGGTAGAACCTACAGGAACATATGTTCCAGCCAATATAGCTCGATTGGATCATCACGATAGGCAAGCCCGACCACCGCGTCAAGGTAGCAGCTTCGGTCGGGTTTGCCAACATCACCCAGTCTTTAATGATTACCTAACTAGTATCAGTCTGTGACATAAACTATGCAATTCAACAATCTACAAACCTCTTATAATGATTAGAATTTTCTTTAGTTAAGTGATTTGTGGATATTTGTTCAAACTAAAATTACTAACGAATTAAACATGGTTATTTTAAAAAAAAAAACTCACTAGTCTGAAAATCAGATACTTATTGACATTTATTATCAACAAAGAGAACAAACAGACAAATCTTGAACATTGAACACTGGCTAAAACGGCATTGATTATATTCCATTACAAATAGTATATATTTAAACACTACTTAGAGGAACATGGTGAAATTCACAACGCGTGACATGTTTAATGCTCACAAGAAAAAACATGGAAAAAGGGCAAGATAGAGAAAAAATCACCGTAATTAATCAGAACAACACAATGAGGATGAAGTAAAGCACCAATTTATCTGAGATTAACCAACGTAAAATCAAGTCGGTTAAATGCGACACTTGAGTGTGTACAGATATCAATCTACGTATGCATGTATGTATGTGTACGTAGGTAGAGTTGTGAAACCCAAAAGAGCATCGATTATATAAATATATATTATGTATGTACGAAGTAATAGTGAGAAAAATATCATAGCAACACAAGTCGCATACAGTCAGACAATCATACAGACAGTTAGACATAAACATTGTATATGTCCAAAATATGTATGTATGTGTCTTTGCACTTACTACCTATGTGTGTATGTCTGCGTGTGCACTTGTACATCGCATCTATAACTATACTATGAAGCATAACATACAGGTGTGGTGATGGGTGGTGATATCACAGAGAACATACATACATACAGCATGATTAGCTTACACGATATTAACCAACCTACTGTTCAACTAGCTGACTTAAATGTACACACACATAAACCGGCACAGTGATTTACCAAAAATGATTCATCGTGTTTACGGCCATATATGTACTATTATTTTTTTTACAGCTATTGTTACTGTATTACAATTCCGACAGAAACTACTATTATTAATACTACTTTTAACATTACAATCAACCGCACTACCACTGATATTGCTAATATAATGCTAACATTTTCACCATTGTATCTGTCTATCTATTATGTCGATCAATATAATATGGAGTACACATATATGTACACATATACATATGTACGTATATAGAAAGTATCACAAGGTTCTCGAAACCAACACACAAGCATCAAAATTTGAAAAAAAATAATAAATAAGCACACAGTAAATTTTAGGTAAAAATAAGTAGAATCAGGTAATTTTGCACGATATAGAAAAAAGATATGTATGCATGTATCTATAAATTGTACCGTTGGTTCGAAGTAATAACGGAAAGAGTATAGGACAAGGAGGAGCTTAAAATAACTGCGACTTGTTTTTAACCAATTAGTTCTTAGCCAATCAGAAGACAGTTTTTATAAATGGATAATTTATGGAAAAGAAAACAATCAGATTATAAAGTGTAGACAGATTTTACATATTTAATGGATCTGTTTAGATCTCGTCTATAGCTTACTCTGCCAATAACTGAGAGAAAACTACGTGCGAATTCGTCGTCATGGTTACAAATAATACGGTTTACTCAAACCTTGATTGATTTCGAAGAGTTCCCTTCACCACCAGTGTTCTTAACTAAGGTTAGTGGCTCTTTTTATCACAAACTGTCATTCAAAAGTGCTCACTGTAGCCATATCATTTACTCACTTACGCCTGTTACCTATGTGTTGGAGCAGAGGCCCCGACCAGAATTCTTCAACCTACTCCTTCCTGAGCTCCCCTTTCCAGTCGTTAACAAATGTTATTCATTCTTTTGATGTTTGCCTCGAATTCACAGGGCAATGAATTCTTTGATTTGTCTATTTTCCTTTAGGATTCCAAACTAGGGTTTGCCTCGTGATTTAGTTTGATGATTTCCGCAATGTGTCCTATCCATCTCCAGGGTCTTCTCCTAGTTTCCTCTTCAATGTAGCCATATGGATGAATGAATTTCATGCGAAAATCCAAGATGTGGTATCTGATTATTTGCCCATAAAATATGTCACTATCAGATTGAGATTTATTCCAAGATTACAAATTTAGAATTAAGATTTAATAATATAGCACCTAGTTTCCATTTGCCAGTTGTATAATATTCGAAGAGAGAGTTAAATATTGGTATGGTAACTAAAAGTAATTCTTGTCATCATTTTAAACGTTTTGTTGAACAACATACAAAGGTGTTTCTACTATTCATATAATAAGTGATAATTGAATCTCGCTCAAAAACCAACAAGTTATATTCTTGCTTTTGATTAGCTCTTTCTTACAACCATATTTCTATCATAATACATTTCAATCTAAGTAAATTAACAAAATTATAAAACAGAAAAACGTAAATTATAAAGACTTACTTGACCAAATGTACCTTTCCCAATTAAGGCTAGAATTTTATAACGATTATACCATACATCACCAATACGCACAAGTCCATGATGATGATGATGATGTGATGGATATACAGACGATGATGCTGATGATGATTGACAAACAGAATTTGATTGTATTTGACAAGAGTATAGAGATGGACCAGTCCCAACACTTGTTGATGTTAATGTGAGTCCAGTACGAAATCCAGAAGCAGTGGTAACAATATTCAAATTAGTCAATGGATATGATTTAGACGGATTACAAGAAGGAAATGATGAACCTGTTCACATGCACACACATTGTTGACATAAAAAAAACGTAAGAGAAATATAAGAATGAGACAGCCAGATTTTCGTATGATTAAGTTGAAGAAGGACTAAAAAATCTTGACGAATATTTAGTATTGGTGAGAATAATGAAAAAAGTACATTAGACAACAAAGAGAACATGATTCACATCATAAAGTCAGTCAGTCAGTCAAAACGTAAAACCTGGTACGTATGTACATCCGTTCAAATTGCTATACCCCATTAGCACAAAGAGATGAAATTGTCAGACAAAATCTAAGAATAGTCGAGTTAGTAACATTATCAGTGATAATAGGGAAGATTAGGTATCGAAGATACGATTCGAGAGGATAATATAGATTAGTAGAACAAAGCATTGTAAAATAAGTTTTGAAACCCTAGCTCAAAAAATGAGAAAACAAAAACTGAATGAAACTGTTATTAAGGTGGATTCTCTTTAACTAACTTACATCCATAATCTATAAACATTTTGAAAAAAAAGTCAATACTAATAATACCTCTTATATCCATATATAATTTCACACTATTTCAAATCTTATTTTCAATTCTATTCCATAAAAGTGGTTTTCAATGTTAGTCTAACATAAATCAGTTCATGATTTCAATGAAGTTCAACAATCTCCACAACCCTTTATAGAGAAGCTTTTTCTCAGAGAATTCACTTTGTTAAAAAGCCACAGTCGCAAAATTATATCTACATTCAAAAATGATCAATAATAATAATGTAGTTGAGCGTGTCGATCGCTTCACTTATCTTGGAAGTCTCATCAGCCCTTGTGGTCTGGTTTGTGACGAAATCTCAGCACGGATACAGAAGGCTCGACTAGCTTACTTTCGCCAACTTGCGTCATTTATGGCGTAGGCGAGATATCCGTCTATCAACCAAAGGACGTGTTTACTGCGCAGCAGTTCGTCCCGTCCTACTTTACAGCAGTGAAACATAGCCGGTAAGAGTAGAGGATATTCGTAGGTTACTAGTATTCGATCATAGGTGTCTTCGAAACATTGCTCGTATATCCTGGGACCATCGAGTAAGTAACGCATTTGTTAGGAAACGGGTACTAGTTAAGGATGGTAAATCAATTGATGAAGTGGTGAAACTTCATCAGTTGAGATGGTTGGGACCCGTGCTACGTATGCCCAACCACCGACTGTCTCGATCTGCGATGTTCAGTGGTATAGGAGTAGATTGGAAGAAAGCTAAGGGCGACCAGACCAAAACATGGCACAAGTGCATGAAGTCACTGACAAGTGAACTGAGTCATATTGGTAGGTGTAGACTACCTGGTTGGGGACCGCAAGATGATAGCAACCGATGGTTAGAGACCCTGAATGACATGGCTCAATATCGTTTGCAATGGCGCAGGTGCATCCACTCTTTGTGTTCTCCCAAATTTTGATCTCCTTATTCCTCCTTGTCTCTTTTTTTTCTCTTCCCAAATTTATTTCACTGGATTATACTCTTTAAGTAACATCTCCAAACACTAATCTTCCCGATTATTGCTTATACTCTTATTACCTCTATCACTACGGGATATGAATCGACAACTGCATCTCTGTGCTAATGTGGTGTGGCAACTCGAACTGATGTATGTACGTCAGTCAGTCAGTCAGCTACAACGTAGGACCAGGCACATATATGCATCGGTCCAGGTTGCCATACCTCATTAGAACAACAAGATGAACACCGGATTCATAGCAGTGGTTAGGTCAAAGGTGGTAATATATAAGAGAAAGATTGCATATAGAGATATAGTACAAGAAAGAATTGGTTCGTAGAAAGAAAGATATGATGTGATTTTAATCTCTTAGTTTAAGGGAAGACAGGGAGTGTATGCACCGATGCCACTGTAATCGATTCTGAGCCATGTCACCAAGAGTTTCCAACCACCGGCTACGAAAGTCACGCGGACCCCAACCAAGTAGTCTGCATCTACCAACATGGCTCAGACTAGAGGTTAGTGTCTTCAAGCACTGATGCCACGTTTTGGTTTGGCCGCCCCTAATTCTCTTCCAACCATCTCTAACACCCGTTAGGATTGCACGACGTAGTAATCGGTGTTCAGGCATACGTAACACGTGGCCCAACCATCTCGGTCGATGAAGATTAACAACCTCATCAACTGATTTACCATTATGTACGTACGTACGAAGTTTTACGTTGTTACTGACTGACTGACAATAATAATAATATTAATGGGTTCGTTAAACACAGTGACAGAGAGGTAAGATAAACTAAAAACAAAAAAATGTTATTGTTATTGATAAATTTTCTAAGCGAACTCTTGAATCAGTTTCTTAAACTCTTCTAATAATCTCAGGTTAAATGTACACAACAACTTGAACATAAGAAAATGTGCGAAGTGTAAAACGAATGCTTTACTCCAAGGTTAGTTCATGTACAAATAATTGAGGGTATTTATAGTATATCAGGTGGGTTTGGGATTCTGGAACCATACTAAACGTAGTAGCAGGATAGGTAATCACTCAATCATAAATGTGGCACGTGACTTCACTTTCTAGATGTCTTTGCAAAACTTATATTGAACGCGAATTTGAATAAAATGTCTTCCAGCATTTCCGCGATCCCTCTGGACTTTCCCCAGGGATACTTTGGATCTTCCCAACACTTATTAAGAAATTGGAAGATGTAACCGTCATGACATTGAATAGTCATTAAAATAAATAATTATTAATCGTTGTGAGAGAAAGGTTGAAGTTGAGATGAACTGTAGTCAGGAAGAGCATGGAAACACAAATGAGTCGGTAGAATATAAAAGGTCAATAAATAAAGGAAAAAGGAAGGTGATGGTCTTTAGAAGAAAAATGAGATTAAAACCATGGTAGAGGAAGGAGTTTGATAAATTTATTTTATCTACACAGTTCTAGTTTATCCAGATGTACAGCAAAAACTTTAGCAGTGCTAAGACGAAAGCTCACTGTCTTTGACAGCTTTCTACTTACATTAAAAATTATTTGAAACGCTGTCTGTTTTAATTAATGATGTTATTTTACGAGTTTTACGTTTTCGCATTAGCCTGTCTATATGTAATGTGACAAACGTACTCCTCCTGCTATTACTAGCAGTAGCAGCGGTCGAACAATAATAAGGGATATGTAACCTACAATGAAGAAAAGTTTTAAACTGATAACTTCATATTTACCAAACGAACGTAGGTGCATATAATGTTTTTGCTATAAATTATCTTGCATCATTGCAAGAATAGCGAAATGAAATTAAGCAGCTCTTTTTAGATTGGTACATAGATTTGCTAACTTTATAAGCACTGTATATCAGTGGGGCGATGAAAAGGCTATTAAGCCGTTTAACTTTCAGCCATTAAATCCCGGGTTTGAACCCCGCTCTACTCCTGTCTGGACAGCCGGGTGAGCATTGTTAGCGCTCAAGCTCATGTGCTTGATGGATGAGTTAATTTACTATAAATACTGTTTAACAAAAATGACAGCATATATATTAGGGTACAAACCAACTGAAAATTACCGCAACGTAGACCTAACCAACTATTCCACGAACTAGTCAGTCCTTGTTGATATAAATAAAATATTAGATTCTAGACACTATGGTGTTATATCACTACACAAAATCAATAAGGAAAATCCTGTTGATACTGAACACTAGACTATATGTTCTGTGATGATGTAGCGTACTTAATTTGAAAGGAACTATTCAATCTTGGTGGACAATAAAGAAAGCAGAAGAGACAAATACAGAAACAGATAAAAAAACAGCTCATTCAAACTGTACAAGTACACCTACAATACTATAACTCATTATAATTGTGAAGTTATAAGTACTAACTAGATAATTACATTGAATTGTTTAAATTACATGGAAATTCTTAATCTATTTAACTGAAAGTCAGACGTATATACTATATATAGATAAGGAAAATTGTATATAGGAAATCTAGTTCACTAATCAAATTCGAATGCTTAGCATCATCTAATATTTTAAGCGATATAATTTACCTTGATCGTAGATATGTTGTTGAGAATGGTGAGAGAGATGTGAAGTAGTTAGATCTTTGGAAATAGAATGTTGATTAGGATGAAGAATAGTTGAATGGTGAAGATGTTTCATTTGAACTATAGAGGGTCCTTGATGTCGTGATTGGATAATGCCATTGACTCCGGATGATCGTGTTTGTAAATCTGAAGATGATGTACAACAAACAGACCCTGTGACAAGATTATTATTATTATTACAACCAATACCACATCGATGTGGAGGTACCATAGGAATTTGTGATGATAATGTAGACGACTGTGGTGCTACACAATGATGATGGTGATGATGATAATGATGATAGTGACATGTTAATGCAGCTGTATTTGCTACAGTTGCAACATTAACTCCTGTTAAACTTCCTGTAGATCCATTTTGACATGAAGGAGCCAATCCACCACCATTACCAAAAGTAACAGAACCTTTACGATCTCTTTTTTGAATACTATCCTCACTAATTTGTTCTCTAATACGACGTTTCTTTCGATAGTAGACCTAAAAAAAGAAAAGATAAGTGGATTTTTACTAACTTTTAACAGTTAAGTAATCATATTCTTAAACATATAGAACTTTAATTCTTATTTTTCTCAACAACTAATCTTCGTGTTACACTTAAACAAGTTTGTTTAGTTCTTTTTTTTATTAGGAAAAAGAAATCGGAGTTTTGAGAAATTCGTATATTTAAGGATTTTGTAAATGATGAGAATGTCAAATGTCCAATTAAAAAAAAATAAACAAACAACATATTAGACAATAAATAAAAAAAACCCAGCGCAGAATTTCTCTCAATAGAAGTGTTAATAACAAAAATAATTCTAGGCTTACAGAAAGAAAAAAAAGACGAAACATTACTCAAATAGGACTGAAAAAGTAAGCAAACAAATACATTTTCAATAGTTTTACAATATGAAAGTACTTTAAAATAATTGATTGAATCAGTAAAATATGATGATATTAAAGGTTGGATAAGAGGTAGAAGAGGTTAAGATAATTACACGGACTCAAACTATAGGTAGACTGAACGTACCAAAATGGCTCAGTCAAATATAGTTAATGAATTCATGGTTAATGAATAGAGACTACCTAAGAGGGATCAGAGGAATAAACATGATCAGTAGTTGGACGTTAGGTAACATGGCTAAGCATTCAGTTTATTTTCTCATATATATTGCTTTCATACATAACTATACTTTCAATGTTTAGTCCTTTCCGCTAACAATGGTATCATAATTATTTCAATTCCGTTACTACTCATTACATCCATTGCATCGCATGATTCTGATATGATACGGCAACATGGGCTAACGTACATTTGTTCCAAATTGCACATTGATTATAACTGATTCTTAAGTAGTTTGTTGTTTAGATGTGAATAATCAACTTTTTAGTAACCCGCAAATTTTCCTTAATAATTAACTCTCTCGTACAAATTATGAAACAATACAAGTATCTTCTAAGGTAGCTTTCGTTTGTTGTAATAATTCTTTTTAAATTAAATAAAGATAGGTTAATCTTTTTTTGAGGAATTAACGAGTAAATACATAATTGTAATTGAGTAGTTTGGATATGAATAAAATAGAGCTACTTCCCCCGACCGAAGCGGCTACCTTGACGCGGTGGTCGGGCTTGCCTATCGTGATGATCCAATCGAGCTATATTGGCTGGAACATATGTTCCTGTAGGTTCTACCATGCCAGGCAGGTCGATTGGAGAACAGTAAGACTAAAAGCAGCAACTCAAGGTCTGAGGGCGAAGTCGTACTGCTGACTGTAGAGAGGTGTGACAGCAGTAAGGCGTTTCCCTCGGACAACCAGCATGACAGCGATGCTGCCTTCCCACAAGGAGGGGTGGGGTTAGTAAAGATCGACCCTAAAAATGCCACACCTCACCTTACCTCACGGATTTCCGTCTCCGGCGGTAAGGCCCTTTGAAGAACGGAGGTAACACGTCAAAAACCTTCCACGAAAAGGCCGTGCGCGACCGGCCTCAAGCAGTTGTCCCTTGGGCTCTGCGGTCATGCTCCCAGGTCGTTAAGACCAACACTAATCCAATTTCCTTTTCAGGTTCCTCAAGAAATACCTTTCCACGGTGTGGGCAGCCGGGAAGTGACATCAGCCCTCATACCCGTAAGAACACAACTGGTAGAGTGAGAGTTTATGGCGAACTGTCATCAGAATTGATTACCTCAAGTGGTGTTCGTCAGGGCTGTCCACTCTCCCCATTCTTGTTCAACTTTGTCGTCGACGAACTTTTAGAGATAACACTCTCCTCATCTAAATTTCCAGGGGTTGAACTTCTACCGGGAGGTTCACTTGTTCACTTGGAATATGCTGATGACATAGTTTTATTTGGTGAAGACGCTGACAAAATGCAGAGTCTTCTGACCACTATGAGCAACAATGCAAGCATGTTCGGGATGCGATTCTCTCCGTCGAAATGCAAAATGTTGCTTCAGGATTGGGTTACATCGACACCCGAACTAGTGATAAGGAGTGAAGTAGTTGAATGTGTCGACCGCTTCACTTATCTTGGAAGTCTCATCAGCCCTTGTGATCTGGTTTGTGACGAAATCTCAGCACGGATACAGAAGGCTCGACTAGCTTACTTTCGCCAACTTGCGTCATTTATGGCGTAGGCGAGATATCCGTCTATCAACCAAAGGACGTGTTTACTGCGCAGCAGTTCGTTCCGTCCTACTTTACAGCAGTGAAACATAGCCGGTAAGAGTAGAAGATATTCGTAGGTTACTAGTATTCGATCATAGGTGTCTTTGAAACATTGCTCGTATATCCTGGGACCATCGAGTAAGTAACACAGTTGTTAGGGATCGGGTACTAGGTAAGGATGGCAAATCAATTGATGAAGTGGTGAAACTTCATCAGTTGAGATGGCTGGGACCCGTGTTACGTATGCCCAACCACCGACTGTCTCGATCTGCGATGTTCAGTGGTATAGGAGTAGATTGGAAGAAAGCTAAGGGCGACCAGACCAAAACATGGCACAAGTGCATGAAGTCACTGACAAGTAGACTGAGTCACAGTGCTAGGTGCAGACTACCTGGTTGGGGACCGCGAGATGATAGCAACCGATGGTTAGAGACCCTGAATGACATGGCTCAATATCGTTTGCAATGGCGCAGGTGCATCCACTTTCTGTGTTCTCCGAAATTCTAATCTTCTGAATTCTTCATGTCCCTTTTTTCCTCTTTCCAAATCTATTTCACTGGATTATACTCTTTAAGTAACATCTCCAAACACTAATCTTCCCGATTACTGCTTATACTCTTATTACCTCTACCACTTCGGGATTTGAATCGGCAACTGAATCTCTGTGCTAATGTGGTGTGGCAACTCGAACTGATGTACGTACGTACGAAGTTCTACGTCGTTACTGACTGACTGACTGAGAGCTACTTCCAGATCAATAGAAATACTGAATTCTTGAGATTGATGTACAACATACCAAGAAAAGTATATCAAATGGAAAGAAACATGTGTATTTTATCCCACTAACAATTATATGATATCTATACACATAGTTCCCTTTATCATTTTGAAAAGAGTAAGAACAAACATTCTAACAGAATAGCATGAACTCATTTTCATTTCGTTTGGTTCTCGTCAACTGCTTACAACCTGTGATATTTAGAAATCATTCATCACATAATGGGTTTAAATTATTTACATGAGACGTTTTGGTTGGAAGTTACGTCGAAGACACATTAGTATAGTATAAATAAATTTATTAGACTGGATGTTGTAAATAAATACCTTATGTAAAAGAACATTGTGACAACAGTTCAAACGGCTAGAAACAAGTAAATATTGATAGGAATATAATGAGTGGTGCTTAGTTGATAAAATAAGATGATTAATTTGAAAGAAAGTTGGAATAATACTCAATGATGTGATAAATGTAGCGGCCTACTTGACCATCTGGGCTACCTGTTCCTGCCATCTAGATATTTCAATAAGTTATGTATTTTTGTTTGTTTTAATATATCATTATGTCTATTAATTGCATAACCTATTCTGCTGCGTTTCTGAAAAGTGTACAATCTTTCGTTGTCAAAGTTATAAAAAATTCAATAAGAGACAATGTGGTTACTGGCAATATACAACGTAAAGAATGCACATTATTCAGATGTTCATTTGTTGAACTGCTAACATCTAACTGGCGATCACTCAATATTTATCGGCAGGACCGACCAAGAAAGAAACGGAAACGTGTTGAAATACTTTACGCTGAGAATTCTATATTGTACCAAGAAGATAATATTGAATAAAGCTAATGATAATAATATAAAAAAAGAAAGAGTTCAAAGGAAAAGGAAAAAAGAACACATCAAGATACAACGAAGGAATATTAGTCACCAAGGCAAGGAAAGATTAGTAACCATCTCCTTTTGAACACATTAATAAATATAGTGATGTAATCTTACATTAACAAATGTATGCGTCTACACGAAGAACCCATCAGTGAAGACATAAACTAATCAATTTGTACGAAGTACTTTTAATCCTTTATTATATTATATAAAATAATTAATTAGTTCAGAATAATAACCCAACAGAGGAAGGTCACAGACGATAAGTAACGAGTATATTCAATGTGATTTATCGCTCAAAAATACTTTTAAAAAAAGTCTTATCAATTATGTAGTTTCTAGGACATTTTATTTGATGTCCCAATACAGAAATTTTGAACAAACTCATCTAGACTTAAATATACAGACAAATCACGATTAAGATAATATAGATAACAATAATAATATAACACCCCAGCTAAATATAATTTCGATCAATAAAAGTCTAAATAACTATTTTTAGATTATCATTAAGACGAATAGAAATCGAAATGTTGGTGGTAATTGACAACAACAACAAAAAGAACAACGCTAAATATGATAAGCCTACTCATTTACAACATATGATTGATCCAACTTAACCGTTTTTGGTTCAAACATAAAGGAAAATCAGTCATTTATTTTATCTTATATATATATATATATATATATATATATATATATATATATATATATATATATATATATATATATATATATATATTACTACTGATTAAACTTATGTGTAATACATATTTTTTATTTCATCGCTCAATGAATTGATCCCAAAAAAGTTAATTTATGAAAGTTAAAATCAGTAACAGGGATGAGGATATATATCTCATTTTTAGAGCTGGAAATCGTGGTAAACTCAGCTGAGCAATATAAGTGTTATTGTGCTTGACCATCTTAGACGACACAAATGACTGAGTAAATAATAGATGAGACAGTCTGGATGGTACGGAAGGGTTATAAGAGCTAACAGATTTTATCAAGATTTTCTAAATTAATACGTAAAAACAAATAAGAAAATTATTTGACTAATATAAATAAGTATCAGTTTAGGGGTTGCGGAGATTGTTAAGTTTTTTTTTATTGAGATCATGAACCGATCGATGTTAGACCACCATTGAAAACCTGAAAACAATGGACAACCGTTTCGTCTCATTAAGAAGCCGTGACCAGTGGAGCTAATCCGTGTCGGGTAGAAACAGGTGTCAACCTCAGTACAATGGAAGATGGTCGCGCAACTTCGTGGATTGATTGAGGTTAGACATTAACACCATTGGACCCCGGCTCAGTGGTCCAGTAGGTTAAACGTTCGCGCGCGAGACTGAAGGCCCAGAGTTTGAATCCCGCGAGCGGGATCGTGGACACGCACTGCTGAGGACGAAACGGTCGTCCAGCGCTTCCAGGTTTTCAATGGTAGTCTAACACCAGTCAGTTCATGATCTCAATCAAAAAATAATATAAACTTGAATAAACTTTGAATGTTAGTTATCCCAAAAATTGAGAAAACTTGTAACTTACACAGTAGATCTGAATGACAACACTGGTCCATAGAATTAAACATTAACGGTAGGATAGTTTTTCTTTTATTCGAATAAATACAAGATATATCAAGGTAATAGGATATTTGTAGGTAACTATTGTTATATGGGTTTTGTAGACATTGTTGAATGTTATTGAGACGACAAGCTGACAAATACTAGGAATCAGGGGGGAGTGGACAGCTATTTTATTTTAGTATCGAACTCTTCAGCAGTGCACATCCACAACTCCATAGGGAATGGAACTTGAGAGCTTGGAATTTCTTGAAGAGAACTTAACCTCTAGACCACTGAGTCAGTATTCAGAGGTCCAAATGTGAAACATCGATTAACTCGCGATATTGCTCAACTATCGTCTACTGTCCTTAGTTGGTAACTGCCTCATACCCAGCATAACTAGACCCCGTCCATTATGGCTACTCCCTAGAGCTACAGTGATTTCTTCTCGAATAACATTTACAGATAAATTAGATTCTTTAATCCAAACACTGTTTTCGAGTGAATGAAATTGTATATTAGTCAAAAAACTGAATTGCCTAATTACCACAAAACTTTCATAAACATATTATTTTTAACCTTATAAATATTACAGTAGATTTTTGTGCATTGGGGAACAAGAAAAACGACAAGGTTTGTGAACTGCAAGGATTAACATTAATTATTGAAATATCTTTTCATGGTGCATAATTTAACAAAACTTACCTCATTAATATTTTTATAAGTTCGAATAAGATTCACTGACATTTTCATGACAGGTCGTTGTTCTAAATCTCGTGGACAGGGGTATTGATTACTAACATTTACTATCGGTTCACAATGAGCAACTATAGTACCACGAGTATTACTGCCTAATCCAGCATCTTTGACATGGTTACATAATGTTGAATTACAAGTAATTTCATCCGCAGTGGAAACAGGAAATGGAAAAATAGGATAACAGTAAGTATTTAATCCGCTCTGCGAAGTACTACTTTGAAGTAAACAACTAGATACTACAGTTGTAAGATTTTTTGATAATGATGGACTACCTGGTTGTCCGCCTATGTCCATTGCGGTTGGTTGAATATCGGAATGGCATGAAAATATAAATGATTCTGAACCAAGTGAATGCGATAATTCCATAGGTTGATGAATATCTCTGTTAGTATGTTGTTGTATTTTAGTGACTGTTGGATCTAAATTGGCATAAGCTGACTGAGCCACTATTATCTGAGAAGTAGGTTGGCAAACATTTGTACTGGAAGTTACGTTAGTACTAATTATTGATACAGCTTTTTGAATTTTATTTTCATATGGTGTTGATTTCACACTAGTTAGACACAAACTAGCTTTCTTTTGTCCGACGTCAATTGGCTTAGTAATTTCATCATTTGTATTTGTGGTTGAATGCTGTTCCAACTGGCATAATTGGTCTGCCGTTACCAGTTGACCATAAATAGCACCACACGCACTCAGTACCGGTGATGAAGATAGTGGTGGCTGATTTGCTTGACATCTGATAGTGGAAATTTGTGGAATGACAGTATCAGGCCAGTTAGATACTATCAGACTATTCTTGCCAATATTATGAGTGCTTGCATTGTTTAAGGATAGATCACTACTAACACGGGTGCTTGACTTCCCTAGTCTTTCGCCACTTACGGCCATGTGAATAAATTTCGACCGATTAACTGTAGAACAAGTGAGGAATGAAAAATAAGACACTCAGGGTGGATTTTGTGAGTTAAATACAGGTAAAAGAATGTGAATTATACGTAAATAAACTGTAACTCGTCACTGAAGTTAGATGCGACCACAGCTGCTACCTATACATAATGCTTGGGCTTGTCTGTCATGATCGTATAAACAACAAAAATTGATTAAAATACCAGTTGCTTCAGGTTCCTTCGCAAGGTAGTAGAAATAATAGTGGTATTAGTGATAGTGAAAAAATATTAAGTATAGAGAGTATGGTTCAAGCGGAGTGAATTCGTGGAATAAAGTATTTCTGGAACTCATGTTTCAGGAGAAGAAAAAGAGTGAGAGAATTTGCGCTCCTACGACTGATTCTGAGCCATTTCATCTAAAAGCTCCAACCACTTGAACCCCAATTACGCAGTCTACACTTACTAGCACGACTTAAACCAGCCGTTAATGACTTCATGAACTGGTGTTGTGTTTTGGTTTAGCAGCTCTTAGACTGCTTCGAGCCTACACTTGTCAGTATAACATCGTGTGTCAAGGTAGATGGTGGTTGGTATGTGTATTACATGTACCGACTGCTAAATCAGTTGATGGAAATTCAAAATCTCGTTAACCAGTTTGACATAAGTACCTAATACCATGCATCTGACCCCAACTGTCCACATTCGGTGGTTTTGAAAGCAATCCATCGAAGGTTTCAACGATCAAGTACCAACAACTTACGAATATCCTCTATTTCTAAAGGCTAACACAATCATTTAGTGACGCACAACGAATCAGTGTGCAGAATGCCAGTCTTTTCATTGGTAGACCGACATCTCAAAACAAGTGACGAAAATTAGGGGGAAAAACCAAAATAATAAGTCAGTACTACCGAGATAGGCAGGTTTAATGTAATTACGAATCTCTTTTTAACATACAGAAGGAAGTTGAAATTTTGTATGGCTAAGATTTTGACAAACCCAAGTAGTCTCCATAGACAGCTTTTATATACAATTAAAAATGCTAAGATCAATCTTATGATCTGTTTCAATCACGTGTTTAACAAAAGATGGAAATAAGTAGATGTCGTTTGCGCATATTAGGTTATTTACTCGAACACTACCAGTCTAGCCAGAGCTGTCGTCTGACTTTGCAACCTCAAGTGATGTTCGACAAGGCTGTTCACTATCTCCATTATAGAAAAACTGCTGGAGATGATGTTCTTGTCTAGATTTTCGGGCATTCATCGCCTACCAGGAGATCCACTTATTGACTTAGAATATGCAGATGGCATAGTCCTGTTTGGTGAGAACGCTGATAAAATGCAGTCTCTTGGTAGAACAGGGAAACAATACCGGGATGTTTAGATGCGCTGACAGCTTCACTTACCTTGGAAGTCTGATCAGCCTTAATGGGTTGGTGTCTGACGAAATCTCTGCATCAATTCAGTAAAGCTCTTTTGGCGTTTGTCAACTTACGTGACATATGGCGAAGGCGAGATATCCGTCTATCAAATAAAGGACGAGTATACTGCGTGGCAGTTCATTCTGTTCTACTTGACGGCTGGGAAACGTGACCATTACAAGTAGAGGATACTTGTAAGTTACTAGTATTTGATTACAAATATCTTAGAAATATTGCTAGCATGTGTTAGGATCACCGGGTAAGTAATAGTGAGGTCAGACTCAGGGTATTAGGGAATGATGATGGTAAATCAGTTGATGAAGTTATAAATCCTCATCGACTGAGATGGTTGGGTCACGTGTTACGTATGCCTGAACACCGAGTACCACGACGCTCAATGCTGACTAGTGTTGTGGATGGTTGGAATAAGGTTAGGGGCGGCCAAACCAGCATACAGCCACTGACAGGGAGGTCCTACTAGCAGCCTTCTCTCAATGGGGGTGTTATTCACGAAATTGAGAGGACGAAAAGAGAATGTCCGGCGCTTTGACTGGGTTGTCGGATACGAAGGATCTATCTAAGGGAGATGGAAACCTTGACACCAAGCCATTGGTGGAAGTGGGCTCTAGGAATCTGGGGGGACAGATGACACACGAACCTATCGTTGGTCACCGACTACCATGGGACTGCATCTCCCAACGTTGCCTCGCCGTCTTGTGGACTAGACCTTTAGGTCAAAGGTTCGCGGAATGGTCCCTTAAAAACCGCCTGGTTCAGTCTGGTAAACCGGGCGGTATCCGAGCTGTTACATAAATCGAATGACGAAGTGAAGTGCATATACAAATGGTGCCTCCTTGTACCAATGTTTATGTATTTATTTTTTATTTTATTTTAACACATATTGGTACAAGGAGGTACCAAATACATATTCGCCACACAAGTCACTTGATATATGTGGGCTGTGATACTGCCCGGGTGCCCAAACCAAAGCAGGTGGTTTTATTAGGGGGCCACTCCCCGAGCCTTCGACCTGAAGGTCTGATCCACAAGGCAGTGGAGCATCGTAAGGAGATGCAGTCCCATGGAAGCCGGTGACCAACGATTGGTTCATACGCCAGTTGTTCCTGCACGATACTGGAGCCCATGTGCACCACTGATTCGTTTTGGAATCCGGTTAAAGTGCCGGACATTCGATTTTCGTCCTCTCATTTCCGTAAACAACACCGCCACGAGAAGGCAGTGAGTAGGACTTCCCTGGCAGAGGCTATATGTGCGTGGTCATGTGAGTGTTTCGAGAGGGAGGGCGGACTCTCCTCAGTCTCGGCCGTATCAGCGCATTTGTATTAATCTTAAGGGTTGAAAGGTTAGACAATGTTTCTCATTATACTTAAAGTTCCTACTTTCTAAGAATAACAGTTATCTTGGGATAATTGTTCGCTGTCTTGAGTCGCCAAGAGACACAATTAAGTGTCTACCAGCTTGAGTTAGCCTACGTACTTGAGTGTTGGGATTACCTGCTACAATTACTACATTTGAGCACTTGGTATTTTGAAGATTAGAAAGCTTTTTGTAAAACGTGTCATTTTTATCATCTGAACTGTAGTCAGTGAGAGCGTAGGCGAAAACGACAGAGACAACGGAGTGTTTGTGTCCTTCAGTACCATTTAACCGGTGCATAAGCGACTGAATACTGTAATTCAGTATAGGAAAGCCTGTTTTGGGTTGGAACTTCATACTATATCTATGAGGGCTCGAGGAATCGCAGTCAAATCTCGATATACAAAAAGGCGAATTGTGTTGGTTTGTTGTACTAGCTAGGTCACATTAATCGAACGAACACATTAGGATCCTGTATTTATGCTTTGGGGAAAGTAAACATAGATGAAACCAGGTTCTAAGGTCTTAGCTAGTGACTCTTTTCTGATTTGACAAAGTATTGGAGGCTCCAACGAGTAGTTTGAAGGGGGATTCAGGAAAACTAGGACTGTTGGCATTAGTACAACGTGTAGAAAGACGAAAAACGAGGAATTATAGAGATAGAAATGTTGGGAAAAGAAAAGCAGATTTAACTGTAAACAAGGTGATTTCCAGAGTTATTAAAGTTATGAGGGTGGTTGTCACTTCCCGGTCGGCCATCTCGGTAAAGGACACAATCTGAGGTACCTGAAATGGAAACCGAGTTAGACATGGTTTTGACAACCTGATAGTGTGATCACAAGGTGCAAGGAACAAACGTTTGTAGCCCGTTATAGACGGTCTTTTTGTGAGTCTTTGATATGTTAGCTTCACAGTATTAAAGACTAACAGCCGGCACCGGAATCCATAGAGCAGTGAGGGGTCAACCTTTCCTAACCACCTCCACTCATTGTGTAGCATTTATTTATTTAAACACGAAAATTGGTACAAGGAGGCACCAAATATATATGCGTCACATAAATCGTTCAATTTGTATGAGAGCTCGGGTACTGCCCTGGTGCCCAGACCAAACCAAGTGGTTTTCATAAGGAGCTATACCTGGAACATTGTTGTGGATGCTGGTTATTCATCAGAAACATTATTGCAGCCACATTCTCGTATATTTGGTGTATGGCTCTATATTTTCCCATCTAAATACATGACCAATAGACATTGTCACGACCACGAATTACACTATTATGATACTGTTTGATACCGTTTACCTGCTGATTGGCGAGATATGGATTTTCTTGGGTAACACTCATAGTAGTAGCAACCCGCTTATCATACAATCAACCCTGTAGATTGTAGCATCAACAGCTCTTCAATATTCCCCGGTTCGTCAACATGACTGGTGCTGTTCAAGTTTTTGGGAAAAGCCCTTTATGATAGATTACTATCACAATCAAACACAGTCATCTGACACAAGAGCTACCAGTTTTGGTACTGTCCTCCTTAACCTGGTAAACAATGCGAGGAAGCACTAGTAGTAGTTCTAGATAAGTCTGCTCATTGAAAACCTTAACAAAACACCTAGTTTTATGTGTGGAGCTTGTGTAAAAACTAGATCTGAGTCTACTGACAGTAAAATGATGATGAGACTTTTTATGGTCGGACAGGTAGTAGAAATGGACAGAACACCTAAATATAGATTTAAAGAATGTTGTATCACAAATTAACGAATAAAGGTCCTCACTCTTCCTACTGCTTAGTAAGTGTCAACTATAAACGATCAGGATTTGTATTTCAGAACGGTGGTATTCAGTAGAAATAACGGGCTTTAACTGCAGGATACTTTGAATGAACTGACTAGGTATTTTAAAAAATAATCCCAAGAGTTCACCAATAGATACAGGTCACAGCCATTCACAACAGTAATTTATTGACTGAACAGCGTCACCAATTTAGAAACGAAAGCCTGGGAATAATTTCAAGCAATAACTCCGAAACTACGGTATATTCCGACGTAGTATTTATCAAGTTTTGTTTTCTAGTCGTGCTGTAAGGATATAATTGTGATTTCATGTCTCACCTACATGGGGTCATGTTTAAAATGCTCAGTGAGTCACTTATAAACAACCTAGAACCTGGTATACATGTGACTCGACATACATTGCCACACAACAGCATAGGAAGATATTAGGGTGACAAAGGTAGTAACAGTGTCAGTAGTAGTGGAGAAAAATAATTATGAATGACACGGTCGAAGAAATGTGTTTGTGGGATGAAAATTTTCTAAGATAACCAAGAAGCTTAGAATTTAAGGGAAGATAAAGATATGCATCTGCTCTGTTGCGACCAACTCAGCTTCATGACACTCAAAGTCTTCAATCATTTGTTAGAATCGCGAGGACTTCAATCAACTAGCCCATTCTGACATTTAGGTATCCAAAGATGTAAATTCAGTCAATGGAATTTTTAACATCTTATACGAATCGATCGAGTCCCTGGAAATTTTCACTTTATGACGATTTTTAAGATGGAGTATGTTTAATAACTACTTAAGTCCCAATATCTTATTTCTCTGGACTGCCATAACAGTTTAGAGTCTTTAGCCGTCTACTCTGGTCGATATTCCGCGTTTATCATGGTAACCAACATTTACAACTTACCAATGGTATCGGCAACTAGAATGAAAGCCTATAACGGGTGATTGATCCTTTACGAAAAAATCGGCAACAAGGTAGAGCTGAAAACGATCGTTATTGCTGCATAAGGCTGAACCGAACGTTATGGACTGATAACTAGTACTATATGACTAATTAAGCTGAAAGGGATCGATCACTTTTGTTTCATGATTTATAAGTTAAGGGGTGTGTAGTTTGACAGGTGCAGCAGAATAGCTCTCAATAATTATAAATCCGGCGTCTTTTAAACGGACACAAACAGTGAAAACAGTAAGAACGTAATGTTGGTATTTTATAGTTACTATCTGCATATGTCACATACTGCCTTCTATTTGTACATGAAGCTATCAGCTGTTTCCACTCCCCTCAAAAGCACACTTATAGCAATAGACGAAATAAGCAAATAAACATCAAAATTCATTATGACTTACTTTCAGTACATTTAAAGGTTCAGGGAAATCGCAAATTACAATCAAAGTAAGATAAAATTAGCTCTGCCATTACGCAATTTCAATACCTTGGCCGGCTTTTCTCATTTACTACATTAAAACACAATTTGGTCACTAAACATTCAAACTCATTGATTAGCCACAAAATATATTTTTAGGTATGAACTTGCTTCCCAAAAGTGTTAACTGATCTTTGTTTATCTTTTCCACCTTCAGTGCTGTGAATATATGAAATCACCTTAAAAGTATTAACGAAAGGCAATGATACTATTTCTTCAAGCAAATAATTCCCGTATATCTTGTTCCCAAGCTGGATACGAATCTTTAGTAGAAACAAGCTGATCTTACTATATATATAATTTTCTGCGTATATCCCCTACATGAGCAGTCCTAATTAGGAGGAACAACCGCGCTTTTCGAACGGGAAATTTAGTCCTAACGTGATTTGCATTTATCAAACTTTTACTGTGTTCTTCCGCAACAAAAGTACCATTTCTGACCAAAAGAATCTATTCTGAGCTATACGTTCGGTAGATTACTTTTTTTGAGTTTCACCCCATTTAATAGTTAACTGTGGTTTTCCCTCAGCTTACTATTCGATTGTTTTCCAGTTTTTCACGTAAAGACTAGTTCAGTTTATTTCATCCGTTTAATCCATTTTTGTCCGTTTTCAGTGTGCTTTTTCGTGTATTTTTAACGGCTTTAGGCTTTTGCTAGCATCTACAACACAGTTTACGTCAATACAGTCATGAAAAATTCATGCCAACGACCTGGATGCCGTTTTGCTGTTACATCTGGAATGCAATGTGATAACTGCGATAGTTGGTTCCACGAAGTGTGCACGGATCTCACAGCAACTGCTCACAACAGACTCGGCAAGTCGGATCATAAGTGGAAATGTGTTACGTGCAGCACGGATGCTGCAGTCTTGCTGAGTAATATCATTGTCCTACTGACAGGTCTGCAGAGCAAGTTGTCGGCAAATTTGGGAAAAGACAGTCAAAAATAGGTAGAAAAACAAGAGAGCGCATTGAAAACGAGAACAGGGATGTCGACAGGTCTACCAACGACGGGGCATGCAACAGCATTAATGATGACACGCTGAAACTCAGCACCACGATTACAACAACGGTACTCGACTCCCTCAGCAAACTCGGGTCTCACAGCACAAGGTCCTTGAACGCGACAGTGGTTCCCCAAAACTCTGTAGGTGATTGGACCCATGTCAAAAGAGCTAAAAAAGGCCAGGCGTCACAGTCTAAGTTGAACAACCCAGTTGTTGAACGGAAGTCAACTGGTGATCTGGTCGCACAGTCATCAAAGAGCCAAGGATACATAAACGTGCTTCGACCCCCAAACAACAAGGTGCTAAACCTGAACGCATCGGAAAACCTGGGACGACAATAACGGTTCGTGATGACTCTCTCATAGTCATGAACTTCAAAGACAACCCTGACCTTCCGCTCAGTTTGCAGGACAAAAATGATAGGATGTTCTGGGGAGAATTGAACAAAAAAATTGGACTTCCAAGAATAGAGGCTTTGACAGTCACACAGCTTACTCGGGGAAAGGAATCTAAGCATTAAAATCACCCGAGTCTACTTCTTGTAACACTACCGACGTAGAGGATGTCTTACTAGCGAGTCATTTACTGAAATCAGATGGGAATGTTCGTGACCTGGGTTTAAGATGTAGCAACAGTCTTAACTTTTCTGAGCACATTATATCTCAAGTATCAAAAGCTAGAAAGCTCATCAGATTGATAATGATCAACGTCAATAATATCGGATCAAGATTGTTATTATACAGAAAATGTATCTTACTCATTCTTGAATATGGTATTTTAGTTTACAGTAATTGCGGACATAATGACCTGATTAAAATTGAAGGTGTTCAAAGAAAGTTCACCAAAGCTGTTCTGAGGTATTCTGATAACAAAGACTATTACCAAAGATGTCAAGAACTCAACTTAGAACCTCTTTGGATCAGACGTATCAAATTAAATCTTATCTTTATCTACCGGCTTATCAACGGTATTTCCTACTCTTCGGTATCTACCCCTTCATACCTTATGATATCATCCTACAATCTACACAATAAGGAGAATATTCTAGCGATTCCAAGAACCCACACAAACTTACGTCAGAATTTTTTCCTTATTCGCTACTCAACCATGTGGAACAGAGTGCCAGTGAACCTCCGTTGCAGTGAAACTACAACCCGGTTCAAAAGTCTCCTTGATGATTTTCTTTCCGAAAGTGGATTATGTCACCTATTGAATATCAATGTATTCAATAATTATTTATACAAACTAGGTCCGTCATCCATTTAATTGCCTGAAAAGCGAGATAAAACCTTTAAATCTTTTCATGTCTATTTTATTTTATTTCTATTTATCTTAATATATGAAGTCAGCTTATTTTCGTGTTTATCATTATTACCGTTATTATTATCATTATTAGTTCCACGACACATTAGATATTCTTTTTATCTCTTCTTATCCTTCTAAACATATTTAACTCCAGATTGTCTTTTGAAATCAATTTTGACTTTCATAGCATCATTCTTAATTATTCTTGCACAAATATTTATGCTAATACCATGTTTCACTCTGTATACTATTACATAAATCTAAATGTATTCATCCGAGTGCTTTAAAGGATTTTTATTTTATTTTTTCAATTGCTGGTTTTCTTCTGAGGTAGATATTCATTACGCAATTATTAATCTTATCATGGATGAAACTTTTCACTAGGTGTTCACTTCTTTTCTCTCTTCTTTCCCTCTAAATAAGTATTCTTAAGATTACGAAGTTTGTAATTAAGACAATAACTTGTGTCACACTCAAATTAACTTCTCAGACCCATTTTATCTTCACTATATATATATGACTCATACATATTGATATTTCGTTATCCTTTTCACTTAATTGAGACTTTCATAGTATCACTCCAAGCTATGACTGCACAAACATTTATTCTAGCGTCATATCTTACTGCGATAATAAGTTATTTTTTCTTAATTTTTTTTGTTACTAATTTGACGATATATACATAGTCGTTTGTTCCTGTTTTATGTTCATAAACACGCCAATTAAACTGTTTGCGTATTTCACGTCTCCTTTATTTCTATTCCCTTATTTTCTCCATTTACTTCTTTAAACTCAATTCAATATCCTTTGCAATTACACAGACCCGATTGATTATTATTGATATTCTACTATTATTACTCTAATTTTTTAATATGGCAAGTATAATGCTGACATTATTAAAAATTGTGTATTATTATCAATCTCATCCGGAACATCCCCAAAGAAACTCGCGATCAGTTTTTCCGCGGGAGGAATATAATCGTGCAAGGTATACCGGAAAATACGGACCCTACTCAATCAAAGACTGACATTAGGGAACAGAAATTCATCAAACAAACCTTGAGGCTCAAAAACATACTAACTCAGCATGTGACGAAACTAGCCAAGAAGGATGGTGATACTAGACCCCGTCTAATGAAGATAACCTTCTCATCTTCACATATGGTGGCTGCAACTCTGGAAGCATTTCGTGCCAACAGACATCGACTGCCACCTGGAATCCACATGCACCCTGATAGGCCATACGAAGCTAGGACCAAACACAAAGGCAAGTTGGAGCTGACCATTCCACTTGTAAACTGTCTAGACGATAAAAAATCGTGTAAATGACAGGGCCTACCACCTCGGCAAACCTCATATAGGTGGATTACCTGTCCATTCACGTAAGGCTCATACAGACAAACAGGAAGAAGCTCACGCGTTCCAAATTGAAAGCATAAACTGCTTATATATGAACACCGCGAGTCTACTAAACAACTTGAAAGAACTACGTGAACTTAGCAATGCTAATAAGGCCCCTCTGATAGGAATATCTGAAACCTGGATATCTTCTCAGTTCTCGGACCAAGGTTTAGCATTACCTGGGATGAATTTGTTCCGCAACGACAGAAAACTGAAACCTCGCTCCAAACTACACATTGGAGCCTTCAACGTACGCACCCTATGTCAAATCGGTTAGCAGGCTTCCTTGGCTAAAACCCTAGAGTCTCTTTCCATTGATTTATGCTGTGTCTCCGAAACACGCATACAGGATTCCAGTGCGGTCATTCAAAGTGTAAAGTAGCCCATCTGCGACATGTCGCAGACTACAGTTATAACTTAGGAAACTCCTCTCTATTAGTATCTCAAGTCGAAAAAGATTTAGGAGTCCTGGTGCCCTGTGATTTGAAGTCTTACGCTAACTGTGACAAAAATGCCTTTCGAAAGAACCTTGCACTGATAACATTGAAGTGCATTTTTGGCCAGTTTGATGGAAGAACTCTCCACATAATGTTCAACAGTTTTATTTGTCCCCATCTAGAGTATGGAAACATAGTATTTCCTCCCTCATTCCAAAAGGATAAGGACGCTCTGGAGCGTATCCAACGGCAAGGCACTAAATCAGCTCAAGGACTCAGATTCAAACCTTATAAAGATCACCTCCAGTCGCTTAACCTTTACCCATTGGAGTATAGGCGTCTTAGAGATGACGTTTCGATGGCTTACAGTATCCTTAACACTTCTGAACATCCCCTTAAGCACCTACTTAGGCTTAGTCCCAATACAAACCTAGGGGGAAACACCCAGAAATTGGAGATACAACGTAGCAGAACGAACTGTAGACACAACTTCTACTCCTTAAGAGTTGTCAAATGCTGGAATTCGCTGCCCGCAGAGCTAGTCCAAGCGACTTCCCAGGAGTCCTTTAAGAGGCAAATTGATCTATTCTTAAGGACTGAGGATAGTACCTCACTATGATTTACTAATTTCTCTTCCTGTTTTATTTTTAACATACCTACGTTCCTGCCTGGAGGATTTGGTGATCCCCTGATACTAGACACGGAAGCCTGTTAAGCGAAAGCTTCTTCTATTCCGTCCACAACCATTTGAACCATTTGAACAGATAGGAATGTTAATCCACAATTAAATTCGTGTGTACGATTAGGTAAAGTAAAATTGTCCCTCAACCTATGGTAAAACAGC